AAATACATCTCTATTAGGACAACCTACACTCCTTTTGCAAGAAAGGTATATGCAGTTCAGTGTGCTGTGTGTCAGTCTCAGTCTTTGTATTGCCCTCCATCCCTGAGATAGCTACATCTCAGTGGTTTTGTATAGACAGAGTTTTTCAATTATATTGGTGTAAAACACAAAGAAGTGCTGTTTCTAATGTAGTTTTCTTGCCAGGATCACACTGCTCTTTCTAACAGATTAACGAACTACTCTTTGACTGGCCAATATGCCAACCCAGCTAGACTAAATTTTTGTTCAAAAAATGGTTATTAACCTGTACTTATTCTTCAAGTGATTATGCCCATATACAGAGTCCTGTGGCACGTTATAGACTAACAGATGCATTGGAGCATAAGCTTTCGTGGGTGAATACCCACTTCGTCAGACGCATGCTGACGAAAGCTTATACTCCAATACGTCTGTTAGTTATAAGGTGCCACAGGACTCTTTGTCGCTTTTTACAAATCCAGACTAACATGGCTACCCCTCTGATACTATGCCCATATACAGTCTACGGTGTTTGCATGTGCTCCCAATGTTCTTGAGTCGGAGGCTTTTGCCAGCAGAACTAGCAGGCAGCATGTGCTCCCCTGTTCTTGAGCATGGAGCTGAGAGTATAAAGGGGTATGGCCACTGCCTCCTTTTCCATTCCTTCACACTGTCATCCAATGAAGATCCAAAGTAGAGGAGAAGGTGGGAGAGTCAAGGAATGTATGTGTGCCCAACACATCTCAAAGAACAATTGCTACTGTACAGGTAAGTGTGACAGAACACCCTGTATTCACACCCTACATACTATTGTAATAATCTTTGCACAAAGTATGCCTTGTAAGGTATCATTTGAAAACTCACAATTTACTGGTCAATATTGTTGTGGTAAAATATGTATGACAAAATTGTATGTGAAGTTATAAGATTCCCCTGCATGGTGTTAACAACACATGTTCCCTGCCCAAACAGAGGTTAGCAAACATGTCTGTCCTAAACAAAGGAATGTGTGCTCTGCTTAATTTGCATTTAAACAGTAAACAGTATCATCAAGTAGGAAGGGAAGACAAAGGAAACTCAAACAGGTGAAGAAAACCAGCAGGGAATATCCTTCCACATAGACTGGGTCTCAACCGCAAATGTTTTTCAAGAAGGGGACTGAAACTATAAAAAGGGACCTAAGGGACCCTTCTTTCTCTCCCTGCCCATCACATGCACTGCATCTGAAGAGACAAAGGAAGCAGTCATTGGAGGAGGAGAAATCCTGACCAGAAAGTGTGGTCAGTAATCTACTGAAACATATGGTGAGAAACTGTTTTAATCTAATATAGTTTGTTAAATTAGGCATAAGTAAATGTTTTATTATTTTTTATAACCATTTATAACTTGTATGCCTCATTACATGTGCCCATTTAAAATCGCTTTGTAGTTAATAAAACTTGTTTTGCTGTTTTATCTAATCCATTTTGCTTCAACTGAAGTGTCTGAATAACTATTTAAGATAATAAAATGGCATATTATTCCCTTGAATGAATAATGGCATAAAAATATTGTACTGTCCATGAGAGGACTGGCCAGTACACGACATACATTTCTGGGGGGAAATCTGAAACTGGGGATGCGTAGGTGTCATCCTGCAGTATAACTAAGGCAGGTGAGAGCCAGAGTGTAATCCCAGTGTGCAGTTACATACAGACACTCAGGGTGTGGCTTGCATGCTGGAAGGCTGTCTGTGAGTGGCCACACTGGGAGCTACTTCAGGAAGCCATTATAAGGTACCCAAGGTTGCAGGGGAGGGGTGAGACAGCCCCCGACTGGTCTGGATTGTACCCTGGTAAGTAACCACTTTTTAATTCTTCGAGTGACTGTACACACATACATTCCACTGTAGGTGATTCAACAGCAATTTTCTTATAAGTAGTGGGACTTCAAATTACCTGAAGAGAGTCTGCAAGACTGACTTGCTGAAGCTCGCATTAGCTTCGGAAGGTTGAATAATTGTATAGTGTCTGGAGACAGTTACATGAAGATAACCACATTGCTGTTTTTACAAATTTCCATTATAGGTATGTTGCTCAAAAAGGTTGACGAAGGGGAATCACCCTAGTGTAATGGACTGTTATCCTTTGAGGAGTAAAGATCTTAGCTAGATCATAGCAGAGCTTGATACAGTCAGAAATCCTGTGGGCTATACACTGATCTGTAACAGGTTGTCCTTTAAACCTTTCAGCATAGGCTACAAAAAGTCTAGGAGAAGATCTGAAAGATTTTGCATGGTCTAGATAAAAGGACAGAGCCCTCCGAATATCCAACGCATGAAGCTTTATCTCATCCTTACTACACTGAAGCTTTGGAAACACCAGACGGTATATGGTCCAATTGAGATGGAATGCAGAAACAACCTTAGGCATAAACTTAGGGTGTAGCCTGAGAAAGACCTTGTCCCTGTTGAATGGTGTGAAAGGAGGGTCAACTAGTAGTGCCTGAGGCTTTGATACCCTCCTCACAGAAGTAACTGCTACCAGAAACACTCTTTTAATTGATAGCAACAGTAAGAATGCTGTTGACAAAGCTTCAAAAGGGAAACTCAATAAGCATGACAATACTCAATTCAGATCCCATGAGGGCACTGCATTGGACACAGGAGGATAAACATGTATAAATCCCTTTAGAAATCTAGTTATCAAAGGATGTAAAGAGATTGAAAATCCATTGACAGGTGGATGTAAGCAAAAATGGCTTCTAAATGGACTCTTACTGAACTAACTGAGAAACCAGAAGATTTCAAATGTCATAGGTAGCCCAATATTTGTCTGATCTGTGTGCAACCAGCTGATAACTGATGTGATTCAGCACAGACTAAAACATTTTCCATTTCGTTGAATAGGTGGCTCATGGAGTTCTTTCTGCTGTTTCCCAAAATAGCCTGGACATCCTAAAAACAGACTTTCCCCCCTGTGTTACTTAGACAGAGGTTATCCAAGCAGTGAGATGCAAAGTTTGCAGGTTGGGGTGCAGGGATTTGCCCTTGGTTTTGAGACAAGATCACTTCACCAGTGATCAAGCTATGGGTGGTTGAATTGAGAGCTAATACAGGTCCATGATGCCTTGGTCAGGCAGGTGCTATGAGGTTCATGGTTGCCTTGTCTATGTTCAGGTTACTTGGAATTACGGGGACTGAATGGAATGCATACAGCAGATGACTTGACCAAGGAAGAAGAAAAGCAGCTGTTATGGAGCCCGGACTGCAATCTGCCCTGGAGCAGAATTTCCTGAATGTGTTATTCAGGTTTGTTCAAAGAGGTCTAATATCAAGTACAGTAACTCCTCACTTAAAGTTGTCCCGGTTAACGTTGTTATGTTGCTGATCAATTAGAGAATATGCTCATTCAAAGTTGTGCAATGCTCCCTTATAACGTTTGGCAGCTGCCTGCTGTGTCCACTGCTTGCAGAAAGAGCAGCCCATTGGAGCTAGCTGGTGGGGGCTTGGAACCAGGATGGACCGGCAGCCCCCCTCAGCTCCCCGCTCTCCTAAGTTGCCTGTGTGGCAGCCGCCAAGCAGGCTATCAATTGCTAGCAGTTCGGGGGGGTGGGGGGGGAGCGACGGGAAGAGAGTGAGTGAGTGAGTGAGTGACTGACTGTGTGTGTGATGTTCCCATAGTTAATTTATTAATGCTTTGGGGGTTCCAGAAGGACTTTGTACCTAAAGAATTAAAAATGTGTTAATGGCGATCACTTTAGCCAGATTATTCCAAAGGGTCTTAACACTGCAGGCACATACAGACTTAGGCCTATGTCGCCTGATGTGCTCTAATTCTTTCCCACTCCTCTCCCCAGCTGCCATATAGTATGCCATCTTGTGCTGGTTATAGTGTGGCTCTGCCTTGAATTGTTTTCTGGAGGGCACTACAGAAAAGTTATTTTTCATTTAAATTATTTTTACATGACATTTTATTAAATTAGCCCATCTGCCTACAGACAGACACTCTTTTTTATAATAACTAAATAAGGTACATGGTAAATCGCAGCAATTCCATCACCCAGTCAGAAACAACCTATTTGGTTGTCCTTTCAAAGAATCGTGTGGAATCATTCCAGAGAAGTACCCTTGGATGAACATTTTACGTTAGTGATTAGCATACTGCATGTTAATTTCAATTATAATGAGTTTTATGATGTAGATATCGCATCACTGGGGTGTGCCCTGAGGTCGGTCAGTTGGTCATTCATGCACTCACACGCTGTCATTAAAGATTTATCTTTACAGCATCCCATTCCATATTATTATATATTATATTATATATTAGAAAGTAAATATTTTGTTTATATATAAATATATACACGCACATACAGTGTGTGTGTGTATGTATGTGTGTGTATGTGTATATATATATATATATATATATATATAT